CATTGTTGTAAATTTTAAAATAAAAACACACCAAAATTATTTGACATTTCAATCCGATAATATTACGAGCTAATTGATGATTAGTTTTAACAAAGGTTCTGATTAAAGATAAAATATATACAGTTTACTTATGAAATAATTTCAGTTTATTAATGAAAATTAATATAAATAAACTTATCGGTTTTATTTCAATTATAATATCAAAGGTCGTATGAACTCTTCTCTTTTTCTTGATACTAATACAAAAAGTCATGCGAATTAAGATACATTAAAGCCATCGAACTACAAGATATTTCAACATTTGATTGTTTTTTATTTTATAATCCAAAAGCTTTTTACAGCTTAAAGAATATTCTGTAGTAATAAATGATAACAATATTGATTGATTACATTCTTAATGTAGAAAACCTTATTTTCTATTTTTCAAATCCCATGCAGAGTATTATTAATGGAAAGACAGATAGTGTGTGGTGAATAAAATAGACTATTGCGAAAAAAAAAAACTCATCTGCAAGATTTATTTTTCTCTTTTATTAATGAGAGTAGTAGTAATTACTTCGATCAGTAATCTCTTCTCCATCATTATTTCTCTACATCATCATGATCAACTAATCATCAACTGAAATAGTGATAGATCAATATCAAGTATTCATCATTATCTTTATTCATGTCTTTTTTATGTCCACAAATTTTTGTTCTTTTTCCATTCAAGATCGACTTCTAAATTGAATTTAATTATTTTAATTTAAAAGTTTTTTCTGTTGGCTCAAGTATGTTACAGTGGTATAACTTGTTGTCGTATCACAGAGACGTAAAAAAAAGGAGTGAAAGATATTTTTGGTGTTGAAGAAATTGATAGGAAGAGCTGAGATAAGAAGAGGGTTGGAGGCATGGAAACCAGAGCAGTGACCGCAATCGACGGAGTATCGAATGATAAAAAGAGACAGATGGGCCACATGGTGCAGGAGTTTCGAAGTGGTTAGGATGACGATATCCTTCTCAGCCTTACTTTGGCGAGAGGAAATAGTTGGGCGTCTGAACTGGTTTTCTTACGCTCAAAGGACAGTTGCATGAGACGTTTAAAAGCACCGTAGAGTGGCAGCTGTGATGTGAAGAGAACGAGAAACTATCACTTGTCTAAGCTGAAGCAAACTGACGACTTGGTATGCGTTTACAAAGACTCTCCTCTCTCTCTCAACACTTTAGCACATTTTTGCTGAATTTTCCAAATAAAAGATTCCAACCAGTTATATCAACTTTTTTATATTCCAGAATGAAATGAATTGAATAAATTTTTTTTTCTCATGACGACGTAATTTTTTTAAGTGATGACTCTGAAGATAATATTGCTATTATTTCGATGTGAATTTTTATTGGAATGCTGAAGTAAATGATGTTGGAAGAATCTTGTTTGCTCAGAGAAACATTATTTGCAGTAATGATTGAAAAAATTTATAATTTAAAACTTTCTCTGAGTGCTTTAATACGTTACCGTCGATGGGTTTTTTAATTTTCAGTGATGTATTCTGAGAAAAGGCATCAAGCCAGTATATTAACAACTTGTCCGTCATGCCGATTTATCCGGTTCATGGTCTTTTCAATTATAATTATTGCCTTATAATAAGCGATTTCCTTTGCGAACCATTCGGACTTAATGATTTCATGATGAACGTACTTGGAAGATTGGATAAATGTCAGACTGCATTTCTCGATCCTTCTTATGATTACGTTGGAGATAATGAGATAGTTATTGTTGGACCAGCCCCAAGAGCTTGTAAATACAGTTATCCAATCTTCTAACTTTCAAAGATTCGTTCTATGTATTTTGAAATTATGAGAACAGCAGCGACCATATTATCTGGGTTTGATATGCAATTTTTCATGGCTGATATAAAAAGACTGAAGGTGTGAAGAGAGAATATTATAGAGTGACTTGTAACATCTCATGCAAATTGATCACAAGAGAGGTTTATAATCGCAAAGCGATATATCATCAAAGAAGGCTTTTACATATATAGCAGTGTGGAAAGCCAGTTCAGAGAACCACGTATTAAGGTATAACAAATTATTTATCGCTCTCGGCGTTTAACCAAGCCGTAATCGAACACCGAGCTGAGCAAAGTCTGTAATTCACACTCTTCTCTCACTACCAGTAAGAAAGTGCAAGTGTGAAAATAAAAAAGATAATTGGCGCTTAGAAAAAAATTAAACAATTATCCATTTACTAACTTGATAAACAACTTTCATTTTTATGTATCATTTTTACGCATGATTACGTTTGGTTTACTACAAGTTTTCACTGAATATTAACAACTTCTATTAATGCACTATATTTCATCTCTATAGAGAAAATGAATAAACCAGGAGGTATAAAAAAGACAAATTGAGTTAGAAATATTTTGACGGCTATAAATCTCTACGCTGATTTTTATTTGTAACAATACTCAGGTCGATTGATTCACCACAAATTTTAGGTTCTATTAAAAATATATCTCTTTTTGTATATTTATTGCGATTGTTCTACCTGAAATAATTATTTCATAATAATTTAAAAAATTTTAATTAAATTTTAAAAGCATTCATTTTAGTTATCTGTCGACAAAAGTTTTTTAACGAGAATTATTTATTTCAAAAGAATGAAATATTTTTGTTTATATTATAGATACATTGATAATTTTATATTAAAATGAGATTTTCCATTATCGAGAATAAATGTGTTTTTTTTTTGTAAAATTTGTTCAATGAGATTCTTTCTAGCAAGAAAAAAAATGTCTTTTCATTACAACTTTTCGCTGTTTAATGTCCTTTGCAGGAACTATAAAGTTTTCTTTAACTGATGTTTCGATCTTAAAATGGCACTATAACAGTGAGCATCAAATAGCTTCTAACTTGAAAAAAAGCAGAATAAAAAACTTAAAAAAAGAAAGCAAAAATAAACACACGGCATCTGGTAGCTATACTTGTTATACGAGTGATATCGAGTCTGTAAAAGTTATAATTGTAATAAAGTATAGTAAAATTCTTGTTAAAATTCACTGGAAGGAAAATAAGTGGATTTTCATAAATAAAATTCGTTGATTAGTGAATGTATACATGAGGGAGTTTTTACAGGTGGTGCTATTCTATGTCTGTCCGATGAACTTTTTGTATTACATCGATACACACAAAATGTAGAGGGGACATTAACGATGACACGATAAATCGTAAAGTGATTTCGCAGGATTATTTATTAACGAATGGTCTTCTGGCGTAGCTGAGATTAAACGTCAAGCTTAAAACTATGGCACAAATAACACATTGAAATATGTTCGTGTATAAATATTTAATTTATGAAAGATCCTTTATTTCGATTCGTAGAAAAAAAATGTGAATTTTTCGTTGCGGTAGAGACAAAAAAGATTTATGTTTGCTGAAAGAATAAACGGTCTCAGCTTTAGGCTTTAATTAGCTAGTAATGAGGCATTTTTTTCTAAAACACAAATTCTTCTAAATGATTCTGCAATGTGTAAAAGACACATGGAGGATTGGCTGAAAATAGCGGGAATAAGTAGATGATGTTTTAGATAGAAACCGGTCTGAGTTGGGATGGACCAAATAAATGATGAGCCCCACATTGGAATTTATATAATTATCGATCTTGTAACAGGCATTTTAGATATACCTTTCGCAGGAAAGAAGATTTAAGGTCTTCATTGATTTCGAAATAAAGGAGTGATACTTGTAAAAGTTAAGTTTTGATAGAAAGCAAAAAAACTAGAAAAGGTAACAAAAAAAAAATTATGATTATTTGTCAGACTGATATCACTTATTATATCAGAGTAATATTAATAATAATAAAAATAAAAGGAAGAAATTAGACCGACGTTGATAATAGAAATGAATTATCTAGATGTTTTTCTACTTTCCAAGTTATTTTTGTTCTCATTTTCCTCACTCTTTTACTCCACTTTTATGAAGTTGAAAAGCGTGAATAGGTTCGTTATTTCGTAATACGTTTTTTTCTGAAATGGTTAAAAGTTCACATCATATGCGTGGGTTTGAATCGCTCGTTAAATGTTTCTTGTTGTGGGATCTCTAGTGTAGATGATCTTTTTGATGTGGAAATAAAATGAGACGTTGAAAAGAAAAAATCATTTGAAAAAATGCAAAAAAAAAGGAAAAGTAGAATTTTTTTTTTCAAAAAACAAAAAAAAAAAAAATTCATGTAAATAGTTCAACATTTGTATCATCTCAAGCTGAAAATTAATAGCTTCCTGTGCTAATGATGGTTATAACGACTTGAGACAAAAATCTGCTTGATTTGAAGTCATAGATGTTAGTAGAGGTTTAATTAATGATATAAAAACAAGTGTGGTATCAATAAAAACATGACAAATAAAAAAAATTCAGTGGATTCAGAAAATTAAGCACTCAAGAGATGGTAAAAATTATTGGAATTTTAATAGCTACAGTTGGAATTAAATAACATGACAGTTTTCGCTAATTGGATACAATAAATCAATTATTTAAAAAAGTGAGAAGAGAATATTTTAATGTACGGTCACGTAGATTAAGAAAGTGCATATGATGTAATTTATGTTATAAGACTTTGGTGGGACCTCGTTAAATTTTGATAACCCTATCTACATGTTAATCCGATCAAGAAGATACCTCGCTATGACATCAAAACTGTTCTAGCTTGCCATTTCTAAAGCTATTACATCATCAGCTTTGAACTCTCAAAGATAGTTACGTGATGAGAGAATTCTAGGCTTTGATAATAACTCAATAGGAAATATTAATTATCGATTCATAGATTTTAATTAACAAATATTGAAGAATTTTATTGCCTTTAACCCCAACAATAGATGGAATAACCACATTCATTTTTCGTTCTATTCAATTGTTATATCAATGAGTTATTTTCTAATTTTTTATTAAAAACATATTTTTCTATTTTTATTTAATCAATGATATTTTAATTTTCAATGTTTTAATTAATTAACTAATGTTTGTTGCAGTTCCAATCGTGAATGTGATTGGAGTGGCTGGAAACAAAGGTCAACTACCGTGTGATATTCAAGCGCGGGAAAATGATCGTGTTATCATGGTTTTGTGGTTCAAAGGCGAAGGTGGAACAGCCATTTATAAGTGAGTTAATTATTATCATAGCTTGCTGTGACATAATTTAATTACACTTAATATATAATATTGGGAAATAGATGAATTATCAAAAATACTCTGAATGAAATATCGCAAAATAATTTTCAAACATGACGTTTTGATATTAAATATGAAAAATGACAATTTATGGAATTCATCGGCGACGGGTAGGTAAATTTATTAATATAAAATGGTAGGTTGGCGTTTGTAGAAAAACGATCGTGGAAAATATGGAAATAATTCTCGTTATAAACATTATTAAGGTTTTCAAAATTTTTTTCTTTATATCCATCATTAAGTATTAAATCAATTTATATCAAGAGACGGTAATAATAATCGTTTAAATGCAAATGTGATAAAAAAATTGTGTTAAAACGTAATAAATAGAAAGTAGTATTTTACGAACTCAAAGACTACTGTAACATATATAAATATATTTATTTATAAATAGAGTATATTTAAAACTCTAAATACACTTGTAATGAATACTTAAAATATTATTCGACAGAACAAAGAATGCGAGAGTGAAATGAAGCGAATTCGTACCATTTCTACCGTAAATTTTTGGAGTATTTCCTTGAGAGTACTCTGTTGTGGTAGCAACATAAATATTACCGGTAAAATACTGTCTATATTTACGTACATACATTCGAATGAATATATTTTAAAAGGCTTTCATCTTTATTTAGATATACTTTTTACGGATTTTATTATTGATGTATCGGGAATTTTTGAACGGAATAGTAGAGCTTTGAACATGAACATTATTTATGAGAAATCGTCAAAATCATAAAGCGCGGAAACTTTTCTATCTCGGTTAAAGAAAAATAGCCAGTGAAATTCTGACAATTACGGTGGATAAGCGTCGGAGTTTGCTCGAACTCACTATTGGAGTTACAGCGATCGATGGAGGCTAAACGATGTAGCTGACAGAGTGACCACAACCGTTCGATCTCACCCGCAGCTTCGACGTCCGTGGAAATCGGCAGTTCAGCAACGCGGGGCTATGGTCGTCGCCTGCAGGATTTGGAAAACGGGCGTTCTTCGTTCATGCTATTAAACCAGCACACCTCAGCATCGATCGATTGGAGCTTAAAGATGAAGGCATGTACCGATGTCGAGTGGATTTCGAGAATTCGCCGACTGTTCATCAAAACATCAATCTCACTATTATAGGTATGTTCTAGGCATTTTTTATCCACCATTCGATATGGTTTTATGTATGTACATACACGTATGCAGATAAGCGGAACAGCTTGTCAATCCACATGACAGACGATCGTTTTGAGAAAAACACGTTAAAAGATTTTATCTGAAAGCATTTTATTCAATAAAGAGTAAAGAAACTAGCTCTCAGAAAATATGATTATCGTATTAGGGAAGAATAAAAAATATTGTAAAATAATAACACCATAAATAATTAAGAAGAACTAAAAGTTTATTCAAAATGACTGGAAATCTTTAATAATTGAGAAAGAGATCTAATGTACCCTAGTCTCAGTCATGAATCAAAATGAACAACGAATTTCGGCGGTTGTTAATTCACATATAGGTGGAGATGTACAATTATTTTACAATATTATATTGGTGTTTAAAATTTAATCCAACTTTGTAAATAATGCAACATTAAATAAGTAATGTATTAATATTTTAAAATAATATTTCTATGTGGTGAAAGGAAATAATTAAAAACTTTTTTATGAGTTGAAAAAATTGAAATTAATTATTTGAAAGTTCTTCATCAATAACAAAAAATATTCTAAACTAATTTTTATCTTCTCAATGATTGATGAAGAACTAACGTAGTCAAGAAAACCTTCATTTTTTGTTTTAGTATTCTAAGAACTAAACATGCATGATGTATTCAGGAAATGGTATCTAGAATTTCTTAATAGAGTTAAATTAGTGGTAACGTTATTAATATACTCAATGATTTGACTGATTAATTTAGTGCCACCAGAACGACCAGTAATCTGGAATTGTGATACTGGGAATCTATCTAACATCACAGAGACGTATAATGAAGGTAGTGACGTCAAATTAAAATGTGAAACGCATGGAGGTCGACCACCACCAAGGCTGATTTGGTACTTGGACAATGTCGTTATTGATGACTCGTATCACTATGACAGCAAGACAGACATGACAGTGAACATATTGAATTATCCGAGAATCGGCAAACAGCACCTCAAGGCTCGACTAATCTGCCAAGCCAATAACACGAATCTTGTGCCTCCGGAAACAAACTTAGTGATTCTCGACGTCAATTGTAAGTGTAGATGAGATACATGTTTCGTTGTATTGTATCCTAGTTTCCTTCATTTGCATGATCAGTTATACATAGACATTGCATGATTATATTTTGTTTCAGACTATTTTCCTTCAGTGAATTTTCATTTTATTTATTTAATACAATCTGGTATTTTTTCTTTTCCAATTTCTTGATCATTTTCAAGTAAACTTTTTGATCAAGAAATCACACCAGCAACTTTCATGTAATTCATTATTATTATATGACAAATAGTATGAAGAATATTTTTCTCTATTTTTCTTGGCTTCAAAACTCATTTGTTTTTCTCTTTGACTTTTGAAGATCTTGTTTTGCTGTTCAACATAAAGAGATCATGAAGAATATTTTAGTTGAATGATGCAAACTACCAGTTCTGAAGTTTTATTTTATTTAGAAAAAATTATATATATATTTATTTTATCTTGATTTCATATTTTAAATATTCAAACTTTTTACTGCTTTGTAAATAATTTAATTTTGATTATTGCTTGTAAGACATCAATTTTAATTAAGTACTTTTAATTAAATGAATACCCAGGTTACAATTTATTCTTCATTTCATGAAAACCTTTAGTTTCATTCCACCTGTAAATATTAATTAGGAGTTATAATAAATAATTATCAACCTAGATATCATCTTCTGTTGTACAAGTCTCGACATCTAACCTACATTCCAATCCATTGATCGTTCATGAGCTTTAACGTACATTTTTAATCTTGCAGAATTTTAGTTTGTGTATAAATTGTAAATATATGTTGTCACATTCTAGGTGTATGAAAAAAGGAAAATAGTTGGAAATGAATTCAAATATATATAATAATACTCACAGGTTGAATCTTTTCCATGACCTCACGAACTTGCACGATCATCGCTTTTATCTTTTTACTCTTTCTCTTCATGCTTCTTGAAAATATCCAACTCTAAAAAGGTTATATCCGTATTACGCTTTGAACGTGGGCGAGGTGTTATGTGCACTCACTAGAAATCCTTCTCTCGTGCTTCTGAAACTAACAAAACATAGAAAGCATTCACGTGTTGAACTTGTTAACCCTCGTACGAGATTCATTGTGAGAGATAGTAATAACGCCTCTTATAAGACAGATCAGTGGATTGCGTGCTGAGCTTTGTACATTCTCTTTCGATTTTCGCGCACCCTCAAAGGGAGCTTGAGTCGCTTGGAATTGGCATTAAAACAGGGAGGTCGCTGAAGAGCATAAAGTAAAATAGAGTAGGACAAAATAAACTGAGAGACAAGGAAAATACTTGATCACAGTAATATACTTACATAAAACCATTAGATAGGTGCATTCTCGTGACGTCCTTTAGTCTAAAAGGCTCACGCAAATCTTGGCCGTTCTCGAGAACGATTTACAGGCGTAATGTGGCCAGCTGAATGGAAATAGATTTATCTTGATTAGCGCAGGTAATAAGAAGATATGAGACATTAATGATGACGGATTAATGATGTTTTAAATGCCGCTTTTCTTCTTATGTAATCTCTTTCATCTAAATTATTTCTCGCCTTTATGTGATTACATGTTTTCCTCCGATAAACTCGATATTTATTAGACATACCTATTTTAATAGATGCACGTGCATGAAATCATTTTAATTGGAATATTTTAATATTTTAATTAGTGGTTAATTAATACGTTATAATTGTTATTATTATATTTAATAACCTCTAGTTATTGAAGATAAAAATATTTTAATATGAATTTTGTAATCTAGTAAAACCACTTGATGTGAAAATACTGACAAAGGAGCCAAGGGTTTTGGTAGATAAAAAATACGCATTCGAGTGTAGTGCTGTGGGTTCGAGACCAGAGGCAGTGATTAGTTGGTGGAAAAACAACAAACAAATAACGGAAATGGTACAGAATGTAAGTACATATCCATGCAGTTGAAATAGAAATAGAAACAATATATTTTGTTATTTTTATAAGTTTCTTCTTTTGCTTTTACATCTTTCCTTTTATTACCATGCAATATTACGTTGAAAGGTTTTGCACATTTCTTGAACACTGATGACTCGCCTTAGTATTCTGTTTCATATATACAAACATCTAGACACAGAAACTTTAGTTGAGTTGATGTGCCATTGCCAAGAACTGCATTTACTTACAATTAGTTAATGCATTTTGTTATGATGATAATTTTTCGGGACAAAATGTCTGAGTTTTTTTTTGCAATTTAAGTGATGTTGCAGCTTAGTTTTTTATAAAATGTATTTTTCAGGGATGTTAAACGTTTGAGGTTCGAAAGAAAATATTAAAAGCAGAGATATAAATTTAATCTGTGAAATTTTTTAATAAAGAAAAAATGTAATATAAATTCATTCATTATTTATTTAAATTTATTTTCGTACTCACTATTTTCATTAGTTTTTAGAATTAATTATACTATAATTATACATAACGAATACTAATTGATATAATTTTAAGTAATATTAATAAATATAATTATTTTAATAACTATACTCCACTAGAGTATGAAGGAATGGAAATAAAAAAAAAATCCACTCGGTACATAAAATCGTGAGTCGAAAATTTAAGATAATTATTAAAATAAAAATATTTAGTCATTATATAACTGCTCTTACCAATAAATAAACAAAAAGTTATTTACGTAAATTTTTATTACATTTTAGATTTATATTTTGAGTTATTTTTCCGACAAGCTTTTCTGTTCATAATGAATTTTTTTAACGCTTGAAGCCTTTTTTAATTGTAATTTTTACATTTACATCTCATTCAGTAGTGTGAATTCATGATTCCATTTTATAACATATCATATGACACGTTTAAAAAAAAATCCAGCATGATCATTGTTAAATGTAAATATAGGATAGATAATAATTTCAATAAAAGTTTAGGATAATTCCATTTATAAAAATATTTATTGTTCGTTTCGGTGTTTGAATTTCATTATTTTGGCGTTTATAGAAATAACGTGGCGTTTCATTTTTATTGTTCATTGTTCGTAAAATTTTAATTAAAACGATAAATTTAATATTCTCTGTTTTATTTATCAACAATATTTAATTCAGATTTAATAAGTTTTGTGTACATCCGCCTTCATCTCTATATGTTTGCATATATATCAATGTTTATATCTTGTAATAAAAATAAACTTTTTGAAAAAAATTTCATATTTGACTGGTGCTGCCATGTAATTAAGTAGCTCATTTTCCTCAATTTTGCTGAGGAAAATAGCCCGAGTTATAAATTAAACTTATAAAGTTTGTGTAATCCGTAAAGCTCACTAATTTGTACCTACCATTTTACATGTGCATAACGTATACGTTTGATAAACTTTAGCTTCTGTGCCAAATGAGGTATAATGATTATACCTGGATGATTAGCGAGCAGTACCTGGAGATGAAGTCATTGTTTAAATTAATTGTTAACTGTCCCAGTGTCTAATCTTGGAGAAAATCCATTTGTTCATTTCGTTTTTATCCTCACATTACAGTATCCAGCAGAGAACAATCAGAGCATCAGCATCCTCGAATTCGTGCCGAGCATTGAAGACGATGGAAAGTACCTGACTTGCCGTGCTGAGAATCCATTGATTTCCGACAGTACGCTTGAGGACAAATGGCGGTTGGACGTGCAGTATCAGCCGGTAGTGACCCTTAGGATGGGAGTCACTCTCAATCCCGATGATATCAAAGAAGGAGACGATGTTTATTTTGAATGTATGGTTGAAGCTAATCCAAAAGCTTATAAATTAGCTTGGTTCAAAGATGTGAGTGTACTATCATAGTAGGAACACATTTAGGCTATTTATTATGTTAGTAAAAAAAAAGTACATGAAGTAGTATTTTTATTGCCATTTTTCTTGTTATATTTCAGGATAAAGAACTAAAGAATAATGCAACTGCTGGTATTGTTTTAAGCGATCGCTCTCTGGTACTTCAGAGTCTGACTCGCGCTGCTGCAGGTGAATACAAATGCTTGGCAGCAAATAGTGAGGGAAAAACTGAAAGCAATACAATGAAACTCCAAGTAATGTGTAAGTATCTAAATGCTCTTTCTTTCATTCCATTGCCTTTTTTCTGTGATATTTTGTTGTATTGAGTTAGTAGGGAATTTTTCTTCTAACTTTTTGATATTATTAACATAATTATTTTGAAGAAGAGAATAAAAATTGTAATTTTTATATTTTTGCATTTCATTTATTTATAATAATCACTGCTTGGAATAATTTATAAGAATTTTTAGCTGCAGTAGTTTTTATTACAAATAGTCAGCCATGTATTGGCAATAAAACTACTTTCTCACCATTTCAATATTTTATCATTTTTCCAACATGATTTTTGGTACCTTGCATTTTAAAAAAACTCCTCTTACTTTGTCAAATCCATTTGCCAAATCGCATAAAAATATCTTTTTTCTATTTGTGAGGATCAATCTTTTGAATAATTTCTCACATGAATTCAAAAATTGCTGAAATTGCAAAAGGATAGGTCTCATAAATTCACATGTATAAGAGTATAAGGGTCGATGAATTTGGGCAACACATGAGAAGGACGTCAAACAAATGATGAGATATAACTAGTTTTCCCAAAAATCATGAGCGACGGTGGGTTATTCTATTAAAATGATAGCACACTAGCGACGACTACGACGAGCATATCTGCATCTTGTAAATGACCTAAGAGGGAAGGAAGGACTTGTGATGCATATTCAATATATGTAAAGCGCAAGCTGAATATTCATGTGTAGGTGAACGCGGCTTGGCAATGTGCTAAGCCTAACTGTAGTCTGATAGTCGCAGCAGAGAAACTATATACCTTGATAGCAGGCTCACTGTATACCATTGAGGAAAAGCAACACAAAAGATATGCTCATATCAGTCTCTTTAGATTGTTCTAAAGACTCGTTATGAATTGATCATTAAAGTTGAGAATAATGCATCACAAGATATTGCTAAATTTTCTTGTTTCATGTGTCTCACCAATTCCTTATGTAGATTAACAGCAAACAAGTTATTTGAATAAACAAAAATAAATTAACGATTATTTTACATCACAATAACAACAAAAATGGTGAGCTAACCAATTTATTAATTGATCATAATGAAGTTATTATTACCATGGAATAAAAATCTCATTTACACTAATTAAGATGGTACAAATATTTCTTCTGATCTAATTAAGCTGTTTATTAAAATTGAACACAAAGGAAGAAAAAATTATACCTTAATCTAGTATAATTAGTCTCGTTTATTAGGAATGAACGTTGACTCTAAATAAAGAAATTGATGAATAAAATGATAAATAAGGTAAAGCAACTGAGCCAAGTGTAATTCCAAAAGGTAAAAGAGCCATGTCAGTCTTAACAGTTCTAAATGGTTGTACTGACTAATTACTCAAGAATTAAATTCTCTTCAGTTTCAAACGTCACTAATACTCTTGAAATGAACCCGATTTCAATGAGTGGTACAAACTTATTATTTATTAGTAAAACGAATATATAGTTCAAGAATTTAAGTTATTTTTCTACTCAAGGTTTATTATTAATATAGAATAATAAATGGGAATGTCTTTTATGCTCACTGCACTATTTCATATCTCATCGAACTGTATCTACTTGCTAAATATTTGAGGATATCTCAAGAACAGTTTAGCTATATTTGTTTGCAAATCGAGTTTTCAAAATATCCTGAGGCAAGGAAGATCTTAACATAATTTAAACAAAGTTCATCAAACCATTTTGGATATTTTTAAGATATCAATATACATTTAGACAAGCTTAAGTCAATATGATACTTAATAAAAGCAGAGTTTAGAAAGAATACTAGATAAGATTTCTAATTAAAAGAATGTTATATTATTGAACACTTCAAAGAAAAATTCTCATTATAATGATGTGAATTTGTTTACCAAAGTCTCCAACTCATTGAATGTGAAAATTATGAAACCTTTTCACTTGATTCAACATAATCAACGTTATCTAAAAATTGTTTGCGTTCACATTTTTTCAATAGATGCTCCAGTATGCAAAGAAGGTCGAAGTGAAGTTGTCGTTGGTGCATTGAAGCAAGAAACAGTGTCACTAATATGCGCGGTGGAGAGTCATCCAGAACCTTTAACTTTTCAATGGACCTTCAACAACTCAGGGGAGCTTGTGGAGGTACCACAATCGCGACACTCCCATGTATCAATAGGAGCAAGCGGTCGTGGGTCCACCGAAAGTCTTAGAGAGTATCAACAATTTCATGGCTCAAGACTGAACTACACACCGGCAACGGAAATGGATTACGGAACGGTAGCGTGCCGAGCTACCAACCAGGTCGGAAGGCAACTAACGCCCTGCCTCTTTCAGGCAAGTACACTTCTACTCTATATCTTCCGCTTTTTCTTTCTACTTCATCTTTACTTTTCTTCTTTTTTTCCTACCTCACTGTCCATTTTTTCTTCTCTTGGCACTTGTAACTTACATTGCGGATGGAATGAGCCACTTGTCTCTCTTGAGTAAATATTTTTTCCCTCTCTTGATTACTCTTCCTTCCGCACGTTCATTTTGGCTAGCAATCACTAAAGTTCCTCACTTAGCGAAAGTAGCCGTAATACTCATTAATTTTTTACTACATTTGGAGGAATGTTACGAAATATCGAATATCAGTAATATCATAACAAAAACATCAACTCTAAGACTGAACTCCCTAGATACACTTGATATAAAATAGAAATTTAATTTTTGTTATCATAAATTATTGTTCAAAATGAAATCTTGATTTTCGTCCTTGAAGTTAGGATTCTTATCTGACATCCATAAATTAGCCGTATCAGAAGTGAAATTTATTTTTATTTAAATTTAAATTACGATTCGATCAGTCATTTTTAGACTCTATAATTTTTTGGACATAAATATGGAAGCTGTGTTTAAAGAAGGGTCGATAAGGAATGCTCATGTAAAAACATTATATCAGCTGTGATTTCATGATAATACATTACATAAATTGAGATATTTTTGCAACATATTCAAAACTGACAGAATAAGACTTTTGCAGAATTTATTTTCGTTAAAGAATTAAATTTTTTTCTTCCTTTTATTCCGCATCTAAAACAAGATTACTTTTCCAACGTTTTGACCAGTTTATTCTTTTCATAGAACAGTTACCTTGTAACAGCTACAAATTCTGTGAAAAATGACTGGTGTAGAACTGCTAATCAAGTTACAAGGATTTTAACTCAACGATGATTAAAAAGTTCATTCTAATGTTTAAGTTGTGCTTTTTGTATGTAGGTCATTGCTGCAGGCCGTCCATATCCTCTTCATAATTGTACAGCAACTGAAATGTCAAATAATGTTGAAACTGAAGACTATATTGCTAAATCAGGCTCGGGGTTGTTGATACATTGCCTGGAGGGTTACGATGGTGGTTTACCTATTCAAAGCTACCAGATTGAGGTTGTTGCTGAAGATGATGAAAACAAAATTATTTTAAACAGAACAATCTTGGCAGGTCTCAATGGACCAAACTTTGATGTGGCAGGCTTGACTACTGGCAGAAGTTATAGATTATTTCTTTATGCAGTCAACAGTAAAGGAAGAAGTGAACCAACGATTCTTGAACCTGTTACTCTCAGAGGTGTGGCCATGTATACAACGGGTTAGTTATATTTTTTATACTTATTAATAACCAGCAAAGTGTAGTAATAAAATTTAAAAAGAAACTCATGAGATAAATAAAATATTTAGTCATGATTTTTTTATGTAACCAAGAATAATTATTTCTTGAAATATTCTAAAACAGTTTCAATTAAATATTTAATGAGTTTCAAAGCATTTTAAAAGCCAAAATCACTACCTTTTTGCATAAAATTTTTAATTTACTTTCAAAATATTATTAATAGAAGCTTCAGTTATTTAAATAATATAATTTAATTTTACAAAATTTCGCAAATGATTTAAGTCTTAAAGCAATTATTCAACATACTTTAAAGCAACTTAAATTTAATATAATAATAATTGAATGAATATAAAAATTTAATTATCCTAATATTTGATGATTGAGTTACGTTAACAGCTAGATCATTTTCGTTATATTTTCACTTTAAGATGAGTTTAATTGCGAATTGTGTTGAATGCTTTAGAATCTGCTTTTCGAAACATAGCTCTCGCAAAATTATTTTGCGGTTTATGTCAATGTTTGTCTATCTGAACATCTGTATGCTTAATTCCAAACCGCTTAAATATAAAAATTTTATGTTTACTATAGAACTAAATCATCACAACTTTAATATTATTCTGATATTAGTGCAAAAAAAGCATCCATATTTTTTTTTGCAAGTATGTAATACCATTTATTTGGGTAATACTCATTGAATTTTAAAACGTATTTATTTTTCATCTTCCATTTTACAGGATATATTAAGTTAAAATAATATTTATTTAAAAACATAAATATAAATTAATGATTGGTTACTTGAAATTCATGATTGGATATTGTTTCCAGCAGTTGAACAAAATGAGAGATTATTAAGTATCTGATGGCTTATATGATAAAATAAATGTGGATGATAGATACTATTGAAGTAGAATTGGAGAGGAAATATGAAGGGTAAAAATTGATGGCAACGATTTTGCTTCAACCTAAAACGCTTAGTCTTTGTACAAATGTCAATAATATTCGGTAATAAATAGCACCCAGTTGTCGAAAACTTGTGTGCTATACTTTTTCCTTGCTTCCCCTCTTTATTTTTTTCCATACCACATTGTGACCTCGATATTATATCGATAAATTCATTTCGTTTTATTTTCTAGTAGCTGGTAGTGACGCTAGAATGGTTTTTAATCCAAGGTACAAAATATTATCTATCAAGCACAGTTGTTGATCGTCAACAGTGAAAAAATTCTTTTTGTCATAATCAGCTTTTTTATTCCACGCTCAAATTATGCACAGAAAAATTTGCATATGAAAAACCAAATGTTTGACGCTCATAAACTATTTTTCTCTCATGTGTCATAGTGTTTCCTGAAACTTTAATCATAATTTTCTCTACCTACTGAAAAAGCATAAATATTTTTCTAATTTATAGCTTGTATAAAATTTATTGGAGTAAAGTTGGACAAATATAACATTGGTTTGCGATTTGGAGTAACTTTGTTACAAGATGAGTGAAATTTAAGCTCTATTTTTGTTCTGTTGAAAGAACATGAAATGATGTTTATTGGATTAAGAAAAGTGAGATTTAATGAAAATTGACAAACCAACATTTTTGTGGCAGAATATTGTATTCTTCAATTAGATATTTAATGAAAACAATAATTAATTGACACAATAGAATTCAAGATTTTTTATAAACAAAGTTTCTTGAACCTCCTCCGGAATTTTCGATTATCTTCTCATAAATATTCATAGAATATTCATATCAATATTCAAATTCTTCTCGCGAATGTATGTATCACGTTATTGTGTAAAAATTCGAAATGAACAATTTTTGTACCCAAGTATAAAAATGATTGGAGAATAATTCGAAATATAACTCACTAAATAACATCCAGAACTTTGTAAAATGATTGCTAGCAAATCATTGATATCAAACTACAAATATTCGACTTGGAGTGTACTTTATGTTCTACTAAAAAAATAATCAATGATCAGTAAATTTCATCTGTGAATTTTTTTTTTTCATCAAAATTCAAGAGATATTAATTGCTTATTGGTGGTTTTTATTTTTTATTTATCGATAAAAATTAATTGAAATAAAAAACGACTCTTCGTTAACTCTCTATTTTAATGTAAGAGCTATTAAATTTCAGTAGAATCGTAAATGTCAAAAAATCTCACCAACACTAATTCCGATCGAATGGTATATTATATCACGCATAGTTCATCGTTTTGATGACCTTACAGTTTATGAGCATACGTGCATCTCAGTGCGCAAGTAATTCAGTACAATATTGTATCTCCATAATACGACAATCTCGGACTATATAACGGATAATATTGGCAACATACGGTAGTAGGTCAACACGGGAGTTAATTCGGTTTACTGGTACGATTTTCAACATGGCATATTCTATATCCTTGAAGCTCTCGCAGAGTTTCTCATGTGCATTTAGCATCTCACCGTATCTAAGCTGCTTTACTATATTAAGGGTGTGAATATAGATGGACATTTATGTCTAAGTATTGTTGTCTCGATAAAAAATGTTTCCTTTCCTTTTCTATTGATAGTTTGTTTTTTACGCACTTTTGTCGACGTACTTTCACACCCTCATGTCACGTCATTCGAGGGTAAACGATGATTGGACGTATAAAAACTTACCATCACTTGACTGTGATTTATCAGGAAATATTCTAGTTATTTTAATTTATTTTCTTTTTTTTTGATCTAAACGAAATTCTGTTCATTAGAATCTGTATTTTTTTATACTATCAAGCTGTTGATTAACATTCTTTCTGATTGAGAAAAAATGTTTTCATGCTTCAGAGTATTTTACATGAAACAAAAAGATTGTTTTACGGATAATAAATTTTATTTATTAATTAATAAATGATATTGCTTAATGCGGCGAAATAAAGTCATTGTTTACAGTCAATAGATTCTATGCTCAAATAAATACTATTTATTTTTTAGTGCAATTACTTAGTTATTAATGATAATAAAAAGATTATTTATCTGAAATATAAGGTTTTAAAAATGTGTATTTATTCAAGTCGCATTTTTTTCATAATGGAAAAATTAAATTCAAAGAGAAGATTCCACTTAATAAATTACAGAAAAATATATTTTTTTTTTCATTTGGTTTCATTTATATCTCAAGTAGGGTGAATGTATCAGTAGTCAGACATGCACCAGTAGTTAACTACTGAATAGGAAAATTGGTTCTAATTAGACAACCACTGATGCATTTTCTATGCTCAACTTTTCACAAAAAAATTTTTTTTGATGATCAAAGATTTTTTTTCATGCTTTTCATTTGTTTTCTTTTTTTTTTTTTGAATTAATTTAACTCTCCTATCACTGATTTCATTACGATTTAAAAATAGTTTCCACTCAACGAAAAGTGGTCAATCAAGTTTAGAATTCCGAATTTTAGTTGATTTTTTGTTAAATTGTTACAGTCTGATAAATGCGAAGAAAAATTAAATATCGACATCGATTTTAACTTTTCTGAAAGTAATAAGGCTAAATGATTAATCTGTTGTTTTTTTTTTAACGCAATAATACATAAAATCAATAAGCGAGACGGGAGAGCAAGTCTTTGGAAAAATGCTAATTTACAGGTGTCACTTTTTAATCGATATCCCATTAGTACATTGACCGCAAACACATTGGAGAGTGTTAAAGTATTCTTAAAGCGGCTCTCAGTTAGTAGCTAGGAGTGTTATTATTTAAATGACTTGTCAGCAGATTACATAAGAATTAATTATCACAACTATAATTTTTAACTTATCAGCACAATTTTTTATTTTTATATTAATCATAATGTCAAAAGCGAGTTCACATGATTCTCAAGAGAAAAAAATTGATCTAAATAATAAAATTAACATAGCGAATTACAAATATTAACTTAAAAAATACTCGTTAAGAAATGAAAAATATAATGAAGATAAATAATAATGAGTGCCTACTTATATATCCTTAGGCGTATGTCATTTTATCAGTAGTAATTTTTTCATTAATCTCTTTTGTAATTTGTTAAAGAGATTAAATATTTTTAACGCTAACCATTCACGTTAATTTCAAAACCATGCTCAATCCATTAAGAAAATTAACCTCATTGAAAATAAAAGTAAAAAAAAAAACGAAGTCGAAATACTTTTATCTTTCACAGACGACATTACGTTCTTCTGAATCATCGTTACTCTAGACACACCAAGTAGAAAGGAGAAATGAAAAATATAAGAACAATCTATGTAGACGTTTCAAGCGTCTTAAAAGAAAATGTCATAACAGAAATATGTCAACATAGATCATAGGATATAAAAAAATAATAAGACATAAGATGAAAGAACATATTACGAACACGATGAAAACTTATTTGAAAAATTTACAGCTTTAAATATTAAAAGATAGTTATTACATCAGTGTAGAATCAAGGATAACACTGAAGTATTTGGAATAAAGAGTCATTTTATATTTTCATCCATTTTTCATGTATTATTTATTAAAAGATTAAAAAATAAAAGCTTGAGGAGAAAAAAAAGAGCGAGATATATATATATTAGAAGTGTATTTACACGAAAATATTATATTTCTGGAGAAGATGAGAACTCTATCCCATGAATGTCAACACAAAAATTTTTCGTGGCTCATCTTACTCTTTGTACCGACTTCACGTATTTATACCCATCCCAACGACTTATCATGGAGTGAGACTCGCCTGAAGCGTCTACGCGGATAGTGTGAGGATGCAATTCTTTGGAAATTGGTTTTGGCTTGCCACAGAATTGGCTTCAATTTAGGGTGAATTGCTTGCACGCAGTTCTTAGAAGATCGCTTCTCATCGTAAAGGCGATCGAGAGAGTTAAATGAAGGAAAGATTAAAGTTTGTCAAGTAAGCATTTTGCTTGAACATGCAAGATCAAAAAATTTTTCCTCTTAAAAAGAAAATTAACGAAGCGTTTTTTATCTAGATGATGATTTTCAATTATTCCGTTCATTTTTTTTATTTCCTGCTCTATATTGCAAATATAACTAAAATAATCTCAGTTTGGTTTAAAATTTTTCATCTCTTCGGCGACTTTTTCAGCTACACCTGGATATAAAAAAGCATCAATAAAAAATGGTTAAAAAAAATGTCCGATTTCTCTTCAAACATTGTTCTGTTAACTTTTTTTTTATAAAAGTGCCCTACATTCTTGCTTGTCTTTTATATCAGAAATCGATTTAGACGGTTCAAGCAATGATAAAATACTTCAAGCTGACCTCCACATATCCCAATCATCTTTCTTATAGAGTTTTAGTCACGATTTATAAATCTAAGCTTTTACACTGACGTTTGCGTTAAATTACGATAATGCCACAAAATTTATATCAATGACAATGTGATTAAAAATAAAAGCTAGAAAATGTTCTAAAGACATTTGATAATATAATTAAGAATAATTTCATCACTTTATATTGCCATAAATAAATTATAAAATCACGACTTAAGTCTTGTTTTTTTTAAATAAAAAATCTCAGCATCACTGGTCTAGATTAATTAAGATTTAATGAAATTACTTCATGAATTTTTTATTACTTAAAAAGAATTTTTTTTTCTCAAAGAATTGCACAGTTAAAAAATAAAAGTATTTTAATTCATCTGATCACTATCTCTCTTGATTTTTATTTTTATTAGGGAACATCAACTCAATTCACTCTTGATATAATCAAGATTTCAACGGCAAAAATGTATCAGCAACTGCAATTATCACAAAAGCTCATCGGGATAAAAATACGGAGGTTTTAATCTGAGGATAAAAATTGTTTGGCAAAAAATGATAGCTGTTTAAGTATAATTACCGTGTGATCCAATGATGTAACTTCTAAACTTGCAGGGCATCAGAGATTACCGAACGTCTATATTTAATTAAAGACTGACATGTGATCAACGTGATATCGAAATTCACGTCCTCCAGGAAATCTAACTTGATGAGCTTCGAATGTGCGTGTATCTGTGTATGTTAATTAACGTAATTATAACCCTAGTTTGTGGTGGAGCAAATGTGAATACTTGGTTGTATAGATAGACATTCTCGATGTTAAGCACACATTCAAAGGGTTGTTTATAGCATACGTAGCAATATACTGTAATATCACTGAACGTACATCTAATTTTATACTTGTGGTTGACTGTAATAGGGATATAATGGTCAACCCTTCGTTAATTACCAAGTTCTGCTTATTAAGTCGTACACTCCAGCAATTATACGTTGTAATAGATCTAAAAGACTGCATAGAAAAAATAATCTTCGTCATTTTTAGTTTCAATACGTAAAAACTATTACTGAAAATCTATTCATCCAATGCTCACGTTTATTGCATATTGTACCAATTGTATGGTTTGGTTGAAAAGTCTAGATAATTCCAGATAATTCAGGGCACTAGAAACTCTCAATGATTTTATTGTCACTGCTGGAAACGTGGTTTACGACAATCAGCATGGAGAGTTAGTTATTGTGAAAAAACGTATTAGAATACAATAAAATTAAAGTAAGTAATAAAGTTAATGCTCTAAATGGGTTAATTTTGCTGTTGCAGGAAATACGGAAGCATCAGTGCTGAGTCCGTTGTTACTTGGTTTAGCAGCAACAGCTACCCTCTTGGCACTTGCAGTGGCCGGAATTCTGGCTGCTCTGTACCGGAAACATTCGGGTGGCAGACCCGGAAGTCCTAAGCATGCCCCAATCGTTTGTGAGCCACCAAATGCAGGTGCTACCACTCCGATGCACTCACACAGTAAACAAGCAGCAGACGACATGGACCCTGATATAATACCTAATGAATATGGTTAGTTTACTCTTCTTATCGCTGTCGACTACTCTTTCATTGTTGTGCTTTTATGTTAACATTTTTCAGCTTGATTTCTATCCTTTGTAGTTGTTGTTTAACTACTGATAATTAAAATTACCTGATAGATCTTTTTTTTTCTTGATCAAAATTATTATTATAAATACCATCATTTTATTTTTATAATGACTTTACCTTGTCTGCTGAGCAAAGTTTACTCAACACAGTCAGCAGTTCCTTTGTTTCTTGGCAAGAACATCAAACAATAATGATGTTGACCTAGATTTAAGATAGTAATCCAAATGTTTTTTCCAAGATTATTTCTAATCATCAGATAAAACTACAGAAGTCCATTATTTACTTATTCAATTATTCTATTGGATAAAATATATTGAGGTTATTGACTTTTTGCACTGATATAACTGATATATGGCTTCTTATAAATTATTTCACAGAGCGAAGACCTTTGACTTATACTTCAATCTACAAAACTTCACCACAGAGGAGGCGGAAAGAGTTAGACGTAGATGAGGATGTATCACCAGAAAAAAAGCTAATAGTAGACTCGAGTGTAGATCTACATTCTGAAGGCAGATTGATGGATTATACTCCAGCTATTAATTATTTACAAAATCACATAGCTCAACAAGACACTTTTAGTCATCCACCAACGATTGAAGACTTCAAACAGATGGCGATGGATGCTTATAATCAACGTAATAATCAAAATGTGAGTATTCTCAGTAACATTTCTTTCATCATATTGACATGTTGGTATAAAAATAATTCTCCAAGTTGCAAAAAACAAGGTAAAAAGTTGGTTGATTGATGTTTCAGTGTCAATTACCTCTGACCACTTGACATTTGATTTATCAGAATTTTGATTTTCTCATATTTGTAACATTAATTCCATGAATAATTCAATATTCTGAGTAACAGCAACTTTGACATGAGTACATTAGATATCGACATCTTATCGAGGTTAAAATCTAAGTTAAATAAAAATTGAAGATATTTGAAAAGTCATTTTCCAAACTGTCGGTGACATGTACAGTGAGTGGAAAAATATTTGGACACTTGAGTAAAAAAAAAAAATAAGATACAATAATAATCAACTTTATAGACAGAGTTGAATGTACAAAAGTTGGTCACTCAAACTTTCCTCAGTAGTATTATAAATTTACTGAGCTTTAGAAAGTTTAATTACGCAAAGTTCGACCAATAATTTTTGATAAAAAGGAATAATAAATTATCACAAAATAAAAAGAAAACACACATAGTAATAAAAAAAAATTATTTTATATTGTATATTACTACTTTCACAAACTTCTTCCAATTAATTTTGTTATAACGTAGCTTTTCATCTCACTCTGTCATTAAAACCTCTAATTATTACTAATAATTTATTGAGTGCGGTTTGAAGTAACTTGTTTAAATTCATTATACTTAATTATCAATGAATTGATATTTTTAATTAAAGAAATACAAATAATTCATAGTAAAGTTAATCAACTTTTATATTCAAATAAAAATAAAATTTTTATAGTTGCTAATATATTTTTTTTGGCCATTAACATGTATTTTTCAGTTTACCCATATATTGGTTTTACTACTTTGCTGTGGGTATTAAAGAAGCTATAAACAATTTAAAAACAACTTTATGAGGCATTTAGCATAGTGCGGTAAACAAATTAGTCTTATAAATGCATTTAAGCTAATGTAAACACTATACGAGTCTGGAACCGTAGTAGGATAATTTGCTGCATGTGGTTAGAACAATTAATGTATGTATCAAGAAGAAATGATAGTAGTGTCTAAAAAAATTACTAAGTATACGTTGTACACATTATACAAGTATTTCGTTGAATTATTCTTTATATTTGAAATAAAGAGTTAATTCTATCCACTTAAATTTCTTTCGTTATAGCTAATGTATAGAAGTAGTCCCAAAGATTTTAAAGAAATCCTATAAAGTTGAGCAAATAACCGAAAAATCCAGATGTCTTCGAAACTGCTGGAGCGATTGAAATGAAATTATTCTCCAGGGGATTTCTTTTTTACTATCCAATATTTCTCTAAACCTATGACGATGTCGGAACAAAACTAGATAATTCTACTTTTCAAGCTGTCATCTCACTGTTGATCGTTAATCTTTTCTTTTACTTGAGCCTTTCATCAACGATGTTTAATCAAGGAACCTATTTTACTCTCTTTAATTATAAATTTTTTATTTCACAGATATATTATAGTCTTCAAAGATCCAGTAAAGGTCTTTCATCAATCACACAACGACCAGTGTCTTCCTCTATATCGGCACATGGCAAAATCCATCAACCGGAAGTAGTTACACGTTCCAATAGAATACAAGAGAGCTGTATATAAAAGAAGTGATAGGTATGTAAAACAGACATTATATATTCGTGGAAATCTTTGCTTGAAAATGATGCAAATTTTGGAAAAATGACAACTTTTTCATCTACTAAAAGTACATGTCCTTTTTACATATGTAAAATATCGTACATATGATTAGAAAAAATTTCAATTGCTAACTTGTAAATGTTCAAATAACATTCAAATGAATGGAAATTTTAAGACGAGCTATAAACTGCCGAAATTTAAGTGAAAAAAAAACACAATTTTAATGGCGAATGAATAAATGTAACAGAAAATAGTTCTTTGTTGTACAAACTAGCGTGACTAATGGAAGTTCAAGAGTTTATAAATACACAGTAGGGTAAAATAGAGAAAGATGGTCACGGTCTTGGCGTTTACTATATGTCGGAACGTTTACTAAGTTTAACAGCCCTCTAATAGGAAAAAGTCGTAACTTTTCAGTGTTTCATATCATAATATGGTGAAACCAGTAATTTTGATCTACTAAGAACAAATCTGACATCCTCGACAGTTTAAATTTATAATACAATTAAACTTTAATTAATATACATCGTAATTTACATAAATTTACATCGATTTTTGTACTGAATTTTTTTTAAAAAAGCAATTCAAATACTTTATCTATGAATAATCTTAAAAAATAAAAATTTAAATAAACAAAAAAAAAATGATTTTAAGGTAAACAGGTCAATGAATAAACAACTCTGATACAAAATTGGAAAGTAAATAAAATATATTTACAAACTTCGATATCATTTGTATTTTTCAAAAATTTTTATATTTATCCATCGATCCGTTTACACTTGATAATAAAATTTTACAACTTAACATTGTGTTTATCTCGTAGTCTTTTTATCTCTTAAAGTAACAAAATAGGGTTGATTTTTATTTTTTTAAATTGTCGTTTAAACTATTAAATGTAATAAATATTAAATAGAGTCTCAAAATCATCAACTTTTTTATGACCATCTTACTTATTTATACTCTAAACAGAGCAACTAATTTGAAATGTTTTGTTGAAAACAGTGACGAAGGAAAGAATAATATTTTTTTATTGGCTATCTATTCACTTTTATTGATAATAAAAAAAAATATATGAGTTCATCTGGACGCGAATAAAACTCACTTAATTCCAATAAAATAGAGTATTCTGAATCCGGCACAAAAATGTTATAGATGCTATAAAAAGTCATAATGTGGTTATCTTGTGGTTTAAAAACAATAATCGATGATTAAGTTTTGAGGTCATGACCTGTATCAATTGAATACATTTTATGAACAATTCACTAAATAAAAATGCTCTTTATTGCAAATAGCTAGTTAACTATAAAGGTTATTTTGTCAATTTTTCATCACATCAACTCGTTACTGTTTTCAATAATTGATGCGGTAAACATTTGTTTTTTAGTTTTAAAATGATTTACACAACTGAAAACGCGTCAATGCCAAAACTAGTTTTTGTACAAACAAAAGTATGTATTTAAATTTAAAACGACTGTAAATAGATGTTAATACTTATAAAGTAGGAAGAAAAGAAAATATGTACGAATTTTTTTTGTATACACTTAAGTCAACTATCATGTTGAAATATAACTTGTGTAATATACTAACGTAAATATGTATGAATAAAGGGGAATACCTCTGGTCTGTTTTTTAAAAATAATTCTACCTTTTATTTCCACTGAATATTACATTCCCAACACTTATATTTGATTCAAATACTGACATGAAGAGAAAGTTAAAAGGACAACCGGGAGCAAGTAAAATAGGTTTCGAATTTATAGGAAAGTTCTGGAAATTTTACAAGTACGTGACTTGAATAATATTACTGCGATTCTTTTATTTTTTACCTGTTCATCAATATTTATTATTTCATTCGCAGTATTGAAACTAATACTAATAAATATTGCATCCCAAGTACCTTCATCGAATAAGCCATCAAATGAATATATGAAAACAATATCCTCACACTAAATTTATAGTTCATTTATTTACCATTTGTAAGTTGGAGTAATTGTAGCCATATTTACAGTTTAATTGATCAAATTGTATGCTTTGAATAATAAATGACTATTCAAAGGTGAGAGTATTCTTGGAACGAAGTGCGGTGACTCGCAAATCCTCGAGGGATGTTAGGATATTTTGGTGTTTGCATACGTTGTAGACCCTCGTCTCACTAACAAGGGTCAACCCAACCTCTTGCCCTATTACTCCACCTGCCTACGCTTTCCACAATTGTTAAAATGATCTACTTCAAGGCGTTATAAGCATTGTTAATGCCTTTTAATTATCCATCAATTAATCAATGATTAAAAATAATTGATTATCCACCAAAAAAAAAAAACATGGATTTCAATGGAATAATATTTTTAAATACAGAGAACATATTTTGCTGAATACGAATTGAACTAATGATTCAATTTAATGCTTTTAATTTAAAAAAAATTGCGAATTTTTTTCCCCTAGAACAATGCTTGGATTATAAAAAAATATAACTATAAAAAGTAGAATAAAAAAAATCCCTCAACAATATTTTATCTGTTGGTAACTTCAAAACTGGTTGCAGTATAAAAATTAAAAAACAATTTTAGAATTGAAAGACTGCATTGTATTTCATAAATATACCCATAAAACAAATGATGATATAATTTCGCATTATTTTCAAATATATGTATTTAAGATAGCTTTTTCTATTAAAACAAAAAGAGAATGATTTCGAATATAATTGGATACTGTGATATCTATATGTGTACGAATTCTCGATTAAACTAGGAAACCATTATGTAAAGTTATAATATAAATTCATCACCAATATCGACTGTTCTCAAGTTTATTCATGAAATGTGGTTTATTTACTTCTAAAGAAAATCACCGAAACGCGGAAATTGGCAATAGCTGAAATGAGATCGAGAGAAACGTAAGCATAAAGTTCTCGTAGAATAATTTTGTGGGATAGAAAATAGCCAACGATCGTTAACGAAGCCAATTATTGCGAGACGTTTCCAGGGATGACGAGAACTATGTATCTACACTATTAAGAAAAATCGATAGTGAGGTTAACCAGATAATGTCTCAGGTTAATCAAATTCAAATAAATAAAATCATTTAGTAAGTTTAGTTGTACAACTTGAAAATTATAGAAATATTATTAGACATTATTAAATGAATGTCTGACTCATTGATCCACCCTGTTAAAATAAGTTGAGTCTTTCTCTATCCTTTCCCTTCCCTTTGCTTAGTCACAAGATCGATTTACGGCAGCTCTGTCGGAGGTTTGTCGTGTGAAATCGCGAATAAATCGCGAGGGCTTGAACGCCTTGTCCACTGACGCTCGATTTATCGCACCAAGCAAATGTTACGAACAAGTCGCCCTCGTTGACCATCACCCTGGACACATCACGACGTTACCTATAACATATAGGGATTTTATTACCATTGTTGCGTAAAAGTCCTCGACGATTAATCGTGCAAGCTCTTACTCACCATTTTGTTGAATGTGATAAATATCTCAACGTGTCATTCTTCTACAAAACGATCGTGTTATCAGACTTACGGATAATTGAATCACTCAGATAGATCACGTATATAAGTCAGAATAAAAATAAAAGGACTGATATATTCATGGCACGCATACTTTTTTTTATCTTAAAGATTCCTATTCTGTTCTTTTATAACTCTGGGGAATGGCCTTTTTACCATTCTTTCAAATCTCTGGAGCTTTGCGTTTACTATCCACAAGCTTCATCCAAGATGCAACAGCACTGGTCAGCTTGCTATTCTCACGTGAATCGATAAGAATGAAAAACAGCAACACCATTTTAACAACAAAAGAAATTTATCAAGTTTTACTTTACACTGGTATATGTTGTGAAATCGTTGTCAAGCAAAAAAATATAATCCTGGCTAAAATACATTCCTATGAAACTATGATAAAAGAAAGTAGGTTGGACCTGTGAACTTGAAGAGTTTTAGAGAACGAAAAAGTTATGATTAAAGTTTTGCTTGGTAAAAAAGTTAAGGACTGTCAATCGCATGTCTTTAGGATTCTTAAAAATATAGTCAAGACTATTACAATCTTGAGTTATTGAATTTTCTGAAGATGAATTTAATACAAGATAAAGAAAAACAATTAACAAAAAATAGTAAAATTTTTATAAATATAATTTCTTGTTTATATTCATATAAACTTCCTCTTTCTCCCTCCAGGATAACCCTAAAAATTTTTGATTCTGAGCCAATGATAAGTCACACGACCTCTGTGGGTGCACTAATGCTATACAGTGCATAAATTTTAGCTGGTGAGTCACTCAATTATATTTCAGGATATTGAATAGCAAACGGTTGCTAAATTTTTATAACCCCATACATCAGCTCATAATTTATTTCATAATTTATTGGATTACCGTACTTTCAAATGATATTGGTTTCAAAATAATTTTATTAACAATAAAAAATGAGCATAAAATTTCAAAGTTATGTTATTTAAAGAGTGTTGTAAATGTTTAATTATTTTTTATCAAAAAATAAATAATTTGTGGACATTTATTCATCATCGATTCCAATAATTAAATATCTACTTATCAGATAAAATATTCAATAATATTTCATGTATGTCGGTCACTATAGGGATTCGCCTAAATTATTGAGTGGATAATCCAGAGTTTGATCACTCCAATCTTCTAAGTGCTATATCCTATTGGCTGCATTTAGGACTAGTTAATTAAAACCATTATGTCGCTCAAGTTTAAGACCTAAGTTTTGAAATTGAAGAGACAATTTTCATGAGTATGTTGTCACCAACATGACTGTCATGATAATGATAGAGGAAAAAAAGTCTTTAGGGTAATAATGAAGTGAACAAACATAAAAGTAAAAGGGTAAGGATAAATAGCTGCAATAAAATAAGGACATGTTAGGTAAGACTATTCTTGAGAACAAGTGGTGAGCTTGAGAATGATCGAGTGAATAAAAAATGAGCTACGGATTTTACTTTCTACTCATAAAAAAAGGAAACACGTCAACAGGGCACTGTATAAATTTTTAATTGGGTCCAAGTAAATAATTTACATGCCAGACTTGCTTTCTTTTTTTTTGGAATTTTATTGCAATTTTTTCTAGATTATTAACTGAAATACTGAGGCAATAGAAAGAAAATTACTATTGATTAGTATTTATCAAATTGCAATGATCAATTTAAATTCCTAATAATGAGAAAATTCAGTACTTAAAAAATTTTATCGTCTTTGTAGCAACTTTAATTCTCATGTATCAGTTATACAGGGACGTAAAACAAGTGGTGGTTCTTAGATTAAAAGAAAAATAGACATTAAAAAACAAGTTTATAAAATATTTTTATCTGTGACATTGTGATGGTTTAAAAATATAAAAGTTTTAAATAATATTTTTCATTGTATATTGAAGCATAAAAAGTTGGTAAGAATTAGCAGTATGAACAAGAAAAGTATAATTCTGTCGTTTTCATCAACTACTAGTTTTTGAAAGTACTAACTACGTCACTGCAACGGTAGTAAATAGCATTAGCAAGTCAACTACTACTTTACTCTCTAGGTACTTACTTCTTGAGATTCGAGTTAATTTATACAAGTGGTACACTTTAATGCAGTTATATAGTTACGATGTTACAGTAGTTTTAGCATCAAACCTTGATACAGACCAAGACGCCGAACAGTGTGTCTTAAACAAATGGAATGACTTGAATGATTAATCAGAAACATGAGTTTGTTTTTAAAATTATAATGATTGACAGCACGAAAGGTGGTAATTTAGCTGGGTGTTAACAATCACAACGTTTATAAATTAAATGTACTGAAAATTTATTTTATTTAATTACTTTCATCATATTATTTTTGTTCCTATACAAATAAATAGGTAACGTGAGGTGTGAAATATATTTTCTAGGATATTAACTAAAGTACTTATTTAAACTTTTTGTAAATTACATTCATGTCGAAACTATTTTCTGCATTTCCAT